GATCGAGCGATCGAGAGAGAGAGAGAGAGAGGTTATGATCGCTGCTACTAGTCGTGGCTGTATTGAATCGGCGAGCAACTGAATCTTCTTCTTCTTTTTCGAATGACCGATCGATCGATCGAGCGATCGAGAGAGAGGGAGAGAGGGAGAGAGAGAGAGAGAGAGAGAGAGAGAGAGAGAGAGAGAGAGAGAGAGAGAGAGAGAGAGAGAGAGAGAGAGAAGTACGAAAGCACTTACGTTAGTACTAATGCATGTAAACTGATCGAGGAGCAGCGGTATACTTCATCCATTTTTTGCCAAAAGGCCGAGTCAGAAAGGTATTCAGCTTCCCTTTTCACTTTGAAAAGAAAGCACAAGGGAAGGGGAATCCGATCCTGTTCTTCATCACAGTCTATCACCTCCTTGTTCTTCGTCGCATCTGATCCGATTTCCTCCTCCTCCTCCTCCTCCTCCTCCTCCTCCTCCTCCTCCTACCTGTGTAATCTGCCTTTCTCTCACATCACCTCTCTTTTGCTCTTCTCCATCTCTCTCCTCCTCGATCTTTCTTTAACCCTCTATCTTTCGTCTTCTCGATCTCTCTCCTCCTCTATTTGAATGATGTTTACTCGATCACCGATGTATCTTTCTTCTTGTTCCCTCTCCTCTCCTCACCTTTCTCTCTGTTCTCTTCTCACCTCGCTCGTCCTGACACTCCCCCGTCAACTGTCTCGGATAATAACCGTCCATCCCAGAAGTCACCGCCGCAGTAATTCCAGACGGCGCATACAGACGTGGTAACGGTAAGAAGCACGAGCCCCTCCCCACGAGTAGACAAGAGATTATTTGTTGAGGGAATCACAAAAAGAAAAAGACGGCCGTGGGGCACAGCGAAGTCCCACCGACCTCCGCCCCCTCCAAAAGAAAAAGAATCCCAGAGTGCTTACAGGCCGGGGGCCAAGTCCTACCAGCGTTGAGTTGCCTCAACGCCCGAATCTGGTCGTGTTTGTGGAGATGAGCAGAAATGGAGGTGAGTTTTCTCAACTGCACGTCTCCACAAACACGTCCAGATTCAGGCGTTGAGGAAACTCAACGCTAGTAGTGGGACTTGGCCCCGGGGAACGAGGTCCCACTATAGGCACAGAGCATTGGATGTAAGGCCTGGACGTGTTCTTAGAGAGGTGCATAACATCGCAGATTAATCTGCTCTGCTGCATCTCTACGCGAAACACATCCACTAGTGGGACTTGACCCCGGGGAACGAGGTCCCACTATAGGCGAAGAGAACGGGGGCAGGCAGTCGGCCAGGCGACGTGCATGGGTGCCTGCTCGACCTGCATGGGTGCTCCGAGCAGGGAGATAGCCGGGCGACCGTGCAGCCTTGGTAGCCCACGTCCCTGATAGATAACCGGAAAAAGACGTTCCAAATGGACGCCTTGAGGTATCATCGTCAAAACTTCTATTTTTAACCCCCGGGGGTATCATCGTCAAACTGACCGGGCCCAGGGCCCTTCTTTTTGTTTGAATTCTCTTTTTTCGCGTAAAAGGGTGAGGAGCTTTCTTTTTGTTTCGTCATTTTTGCGGGAAAAGGCTGATGACCCTTGCGGTATCATCGGCAAACTGACCGACCAAAGGCCACCTATCCTTGATCATCATCCGCGGGTTGGAACTCGAGTCTGCTTGTCAACAGTTCATGGGTGTATCCTTCAGCGGCGCGGGAGATGTCCAAGATCTGCAGCCAATACCTCCCAACACGTGCAATTGGGACCAGGCTCCTGGGCCTAGATTGCGTCCGCAAGGCAGTGGGCAGATGCCCAAGATCTACAGCCAATAGCTCCCAACCCGTGCAATTGGGACCAGGCTCCTGGGCCCAGATTGCGTCGGCAAGGCAGTAGGCAGTAAGCGATAGTAACCGTAGATCAAGACGATGGAAAGAGGCGTGTGCGACCAGGTACAGCCATAATGAGGGTGCCTTGTGTTCGGGGGAAGACGGTACTGGAGTGCAGTCCATCATCACTGATAGTCATTCGATCCTATGTTTGCGTGCTGTGCACCACACGGTTGGGGGTCGTTGGAGCAGTGCAGAACGGAGCCGTCAACGCCTCGCGACTGCAAAATCGCCTCTCTCCACTTTCAGGATATCCGTTCGAACTGTAGCGATAAGGCTGACTGGAGCAGATCGTGAGCTCGAATCACGCAACCGATACAGAGAAGAAAAGCATGGTGCCCATACCGAGAAAAATAGCATGGTGAGTTCGAATCATGGAACTCATACACAGCTCGTGAGTTCGAACCATGTGCAACCGATATACAGAAGAATAGCATGGTGTCCACGTCATGGGTGAATGACACGCTTGTGGAGCAGGCTCGGGTGGGTGAAGGATAAACACATGAAGCTGGTCATAAACACACCATGAATTCAGAACCTGCACGGGCACAGAAAAATAGTTGGCCACTGGCATGGCTGCTGATTTACGCAATCATGGATGTCATCTAGGGCTAAGGCCTGGCCCAACTGGCACTACGATTGGACGTGGAAGTAGTGGCAGCCAGGGCTCGTACTTTCGGTTCGAGCTGACAAGTTTAGCCTGAGGTGTTTTCATCATTTGTACGTTGACAAAGCTCTCCATAATTTTTATCATAAGGGTGGGGGATATGGCAGGGTTGGGTTGCATGCCTTGCACGATAGGGGCACAGGTTGGGAAGGTGGGGGCCCTCAAATAACTTAGGTGGAAATAAAAGGGGGTTGGTAGTTTTCTGCAGTTCAGGTTTCCCTTGCTGGACAACCGTGATGACAAACGTATACAAGTTAGCTCTCCGGTCTGGTGCGGTGTCGAGCGCATCCCCACAGGGGGACTGTCGCATACCATAATGGTGCAGACCAGAACAAGAACCGACCTCTCTCACATAGTACAGGATAGCGCAGCGGAAGGCTAAAATACCAATGATCAGACCAATCAATGTCGCAATACCGACCAAACCTACATCATCATCATCGCATGGTGTGAAGGGGCGTGGCGCTCACACCTGAAGAATGTGCCAGTCCCAAACCATACACAGACGAAGAGGAGGGGGATCAGACGAAGAAGGGGAAGATGGGAATGTCGTCACACAAGTGTCGTATCGATCCCAAAGAGTCCCTCACCAATGTCTCTGTCCCAAAGTCGACTCTGTATCCAAATGTCGTCAACATCCCAAAGCCACAAATCTCTCTCTCTCTCTCTCTCTCTCTCTCTCTCTCTCTCTCTCTCTCTCTCTCTCTCTCTC